TATTGCAAAATTCTATGCATATAGAAATTAATAAGAGTAATAAAAAAACCAAAAGTTCTCAAAAATACGCATCAAAAAGCAGTAAGTCCCACCATGCGCCCACAGCACTATAAATAAACATACCCATTCCCTACAGATCTTTATTCAAATTATAAAGTTGAATTTTTCCTCCACGGTTCAAAGCCCACCAGATCAGCCCCAAACCCCTGCTGCTGTTCCAGCCCTCGCCCTGCTGCTCCCTGGGAGGGTGGCAGGAGCAGTGACAAGCTGCAGCAAGCCAGCTCTCCCCGAGACAGGTTCCCATCAAGGCACCCTCCAAAGGTGTTTACAGCTCCTGAAGGAACACTCTCACACCCTGAGGAACGTGGCTATCATATTACTTTGCTTTTTTTATTGTAAAAAAAAAAAAAAAAAAAAAAAAAAAGACCAAGTGCGTGATTCAAAATTCCAGGGGAAACGAAGAGATCTCACAGAAAGAACAGGACACGCCTCCCCAGACTGCACCAGCTTTTCCTAACATGCCTGTGTTGGCTTAAACTCTTCAGGGTTGGTGTTGTTTGGTTATTTTTTAGTGTTCCTTACTCTGACAGCATCACTTTGTATTCCAGAGGTGGGTTAAGAAGCTGGAGCACAGCCAGGAACACCTGGCAGTCTAATTCCAGTGGAATGATAAAGCTGATGATTCTGGAAGAGTCACTGCACCCAAAATCCCACAGCAGGTTTAGCAGCAGCAATTTTCTGAACAGATTAAAATCAGAAAGTGACACAGACTGCTTTAAACATGAATTTAAAAAAAAAACAGTAAAGGAAAAGAAAGGTAACCCATGGCTGCAGCCAAGACATGCACACTTGTTAATAAACACAGCCAGATTCAGCTCAAGTCCATGGGGCTGAGGATGCTGATAGGATCCAAAAAACAACTTGTGAATACTTGTTGCCTTCTAATTCTAAGGTTTGAATGCAAATATCTCCAGGGACTGGAAGTGGAAAAATCCCTAGAGCAGGGGGAGTGTCACAGCCCCCAGACTGACACAGCTGGCAAAGCTGAGGGGGCACACAGGTGAGGGGACAGCACCAGGATGTGTGGGATATTCCCATCCCAAACTTGTTATTTACTGCAGCCAACAAGCCCAGGAGAGCAGGGTCACTCCCTCTCTCTGGGACAGAGAAGTTCACATCCCTCCACTTATTTAAATTATTCGCAGACGCATTTTTCCATTCTTGTCAGAGAACACCTACAAACAGTGCAGGAAGGTGAACACGAGTGAGAATATGGCAGAGACTTTCCTCCAAGCACAAACCCCTTTGGGAGCTGTGTCCTCACTGCCAGCAGCACCCAGTGACACCTCCACAGGTGCCAGATTTAACTGGCATAAATACATTTAAATTTATTACAAATTTAATAAATTTTCCAGCCACTAGCACGCTCCAAGCTGAGAACTGAAGCAGGGTGGAAGGGCAGCTCTGGCTGCTCCTGCTGCTCCTGGGCTGCAGAGCCTTTCCAAAAACCCTGCCTGGCCAGAACTCCTGAATAACTGGCTAATATGATTATCAGAAGCTGTTTATTATTTCCATTAGATACACTTTTATTGATTCTACAAATTCCTGGATTGGTGCCTTTGTGTTGTTTCCTCATTCTCTGCTTCCATTTCTCAGTGTCTGGGATTGATTATTGTGTAGGTGTTCTATAGTTTTCTCTTATCTAGTTCCTGTGATCTTGGTATGTGTTTTCTTAGTTTCTTTGTTCTTATTTTAGTACAGTTTATGTTTTAGTAACCTTCATAAATTCCACAGAGAATTCTGATAAAAAACAGTTGAAAATTCTCTCCAAAACAGTTGAAATTGCTCTCTGAGAAAATTCTGATAGAAACACTTGCAGACAGTATGGCTGGTGCACAATGAGGCTTAACTTGTTCAAATACATTTCAAATACAGTCACTGGGGCTCAGCCCAGCAGTGACACCTCCACAGGTGGAAAATTTAACATTTTCCAGCCACTAGCACGCTCCAAGCTGAGAACTGAAGCAGGGTGGAAGGGCAGCTCTGGCTGCTCCTGCTGTTCCTGGGCTGCAGAACCTTTCAAAAAACCTGCCTGGCTTAGGAGCTGAGTGCCTGAACACCTCAAAAACAGCTCCAAACCCTGTCCCTGCTGGTCCCCAGAGCCCGAGGGCAGCACAGCCACCCTGGCCTGGTGCTCCCACAGCAGGAGCAGCTCAGATGCCACTGGGTGACACAAGGGTGACAGCAGTGACACCTCCACAG